TCCCATAATAACCATGTTAATTAAAATAACTGGCTTCTTCTGCTGGCAGTGTGTGAATGTTAAGCAATAAGCCCCTCCCGGACATTCCTTTGCTTGAATTATGATGGGCTCTGTGGTGCCAGCCGCACTTCTAGTGGGCTCTGTGTTATTTCAAACCTGCCTGTATGCCCGAGCTGATTTATACACAGTCACAGTGACTGTGTGAATCGCAGCTTATCTAATATTCCAGATGGCTTAACTGACTCCACTCTGCCTGTGTAGCAGTTAGTAATCAATCACGGGCAGCCGAGCCTGCGCCCGCGCAAATCAAAAACGAACCCACCAATCTCAAGCTCTCCTGTCCCCTGACATCACCGCGGACCTAATTACGAACTAATTCTGCAAGGTCCGTGGACTTCGTGTTCTATGTCATGCCTTCTTCTAATTGGATAATGTCTCAAGCCTAGGAAAAACCGGTCACGCCCAGTCCCTCCCTCGTAACTGTGTATATAAACTACTTGCTCTACTAGGTCGGGGCTCTCATTCCTGTACTGCTGTGCCCGTTACAGACATGAGCCCAGACTGAGCCTGAATAAAGACCCTCGTGTGATTTGCATCAGAGCTGGCTCTTTGATGGTCTCTCGGATTCAGGATTCGGGTACTACATTGCTGTGTTGACCAGGCTGTTCTCCGAACTCCTTGGCTCAAGTGATCCTCATGCCTCGCCTCCCAAAGTGCTGAGATTATAGGTGTAAGCCATCGTACCCAGCCTCTCCTATTTTAAGTTCTTTGTAAAGGTTTCCCAGTATGTAGTGAACTGTGGCCTAGCTGGGTGTGTAAACAGACTGTAATCTACCCTTGTGCCAATCACCAAGCTTCAGTCAATCACAGACAGTCAATTGTTCAAACTAGGTTCAAATGCCAAGCTGTAGCCAATCTGGCTATTTCTGTACTTCACTTGTTTTCTATATGTCATTTCCCTTTTTCTGTCCATAAATCTTCCACCATGTGGCTGCACTGGAGTCTTTGAACCTATTCTGGCTTGGGCGCTGCCAGATTTGCGAATCGTTCCTTGCTCAAACGCTTAAATTTAATTTGTCTACAGTTTTTCTTTTAACAGACTGGAGCGCTCACTTGCTTGCTGGAAATCAGAGTTGGCGGATCAGACAACGAAGCCCCGCTGCTCTGCAAAACTCGCTCCAGCCAGGCCAGGACGTGCACTGTCTGGTGGGAAGTGGATGTTCTAATCCTCACAGCTGGGCCATGGGGGGAGAAGCTTGGGGGGAAGACTCAAAAGTTGTGTTTGGAATTCACACCCGCGTGCTTTTTCCCTCTCTGCTCAGGTCACATGAGCCACCTTGGAGCTGTGTTCCCATAAGGCAGTGGCCATCACTCCGTGCCCTTCCACATACCACACTTCTAATCCCAGCCCGATGTTTCTTAAATCCCTAGTATGGGCCTGGAGGCAGACCACTTGGTTTCAAATCCCAGTGAAAGGACATAACATGGATTGAATTTACCCAAGGGGCAGCCATTTTAGCGTTGCCTAAATCTCATGTTTTCCTAGCAGTTCACTTAACTCACCCTCTAATCACTAGCCAAGGGCAGAGCCAGTTTCTCGGTTTCTCACAGATAGACCCCACCACCATGGCAGCAGCCATGTGACTAACACACCCATCTGCCTGTTGCCCATCTCCTAACGTGAGTACCTGTACCCACTTGCGCCTTCGTGATGAATGGTGCAGACCACCACTCAATCACCTTAGTGGCCTTCCCCCATCAAAGGGAAGGATTAGAAAGACTCAGCCACGAACAACTAGCCACCATTGCCTTGCTAAGTTATGCTATGGCCATGTGCTCTTTGAGCTATGGCCAGGTCATGTTTTCATAAGCTTTGGTCTCCTTCCCTACCTTGGGGAAGTGAATCTCCTCTTTCCGTCTTTCTCTTTCTACTTTAGTTTTTAAATAAACTATATTTTCTAATCTAACTTCTAATTCTTTGCATCTTTCACGTGGCACTGGATCGCACACCAGATACCCACATCCCAGCAAGCCTGACCTAACATTCTGGAGGGCTCCCCTGGGAGTGTTACCTAATACCCAGTGCCATCACTTAACAGTTGGGTGGTTTCCCCTAATCTTTGTGTCTCAGTTTACTCATTTTTTTTTTTGAGTTGGATTCTCACTCTTGTCCCCCAGGCTGGAGTGCAGTGGCACGCTCACAGCCACCGCAGACTTGACGTGATGGGCTTAGGTGATCCTTCCGCCTCAGCCTTCCAAGTAGCCAGAACTACAGGCACACGCTACCACACCCAGTTAATTTTTGATTTATTGTAGAGACAAGGTCTCACCAAGTTGCCTGGGCTGGTCTTGAACCTGTGGGCTCAGGCAATCCACTCGCCTTGGCCTCCCAAAGTGCTGGGATTATAGGCTGAGCCACCGCGCCTGGCCAGTTTGTTCATCTTTAAACAGAAATAAAAGCACCAACAGAGTATGGATTGGTTTTGGCTGTTGTTGATGTTGCAGTTACTTGCTTGACGGGAAGGATGGGCCAGGAAGAAGGGGTGCTTGGATGCAAATCATCGCCAACTACTGGCCAAATGATGAAAAGCACACCCTGGCAGTCACCCATCGCCGTCCACATTCATTCGCAAGGTGATAAATAGAGTAAAATGAGCTGGGATAAAATGGGATAGGATGGGATAGTGGGATTCCTGAGAAGTGGTTATCCTCGGGACAGATTTCCTGGCTGTTCTGAAATATAACAATCATCATAGCAAGTGCCTTTTGTCAAGCACAGAGCAGTGCTGGGTACTGGCTTAAGAGCCTTACACCCATGATTTGCATCATCTTCCAGCAAGCGAAGAAGCTCAGGGACCTGGTAACGAGCCTGAGACACGCCTCTCTGATCCTAGCACCCGTGCTCTCACTGCTGCGGGAGTCCTCACCGAGACTTGTTCAGGCCTGCAGCCAAGCTCCGGTCGCGGATCCGCGTCTTCATCACCTCGTTGTAATCTCCATTCTTGAAAATAGGATGCGCAAACCAGCCTCCCATAAACTGCGGGTGGGGTGGAGAAGGCAGTCAACCGGAGTGACAGGTGGGCACCCCAAGGGACAGCAACACCCCCGCTCAGAAGTCACTGACCTCAGGCCTCCCCCTCCTTCCTCCCCAACGCCCACCCTAAGCTCCTATCTCCTCTGAGGCTGTTCACAGGCTGCAGCCTCAGTGTCCCCAGGTCTGTCCAGCTGCTCTGTGTTGGCTTAGCTGTCTTTCTCTGAGGGCAGGGCCAGGGTCTCCATCATGACAGCTTGAGGTGACAGGAGCTGAGCTGAGCACGGGCCGGGCACTCAAATGCTTCCTGGCTGCCCTGTGAAGCGTCCCGCAGCCTCCAGGCCCCTCATTCCTTCTTTCAGCATGGAGCAGCTGAACTTCCTCAGCAAAATGCCTAAGGGTCAACCAGAACTTTCTGGGGAGGGCTGAGTTGCAAGCCTTTCCTGGCTGTCCAGGCAAAGGATAATTCTTCACGGGCGTTCACAGCCCTAAAGTGGAGGACTGCTTGACCTCTCTTTAATGAGGTTTCAGCCATCCTTATCTTAGGGAGGATACATGGAACCCACACACTATGATGCTGGGGGGCTTGAGAGGTTCCTTCAGCTTCTCCAAATCCTCACCTCACCTGCCAGCTGATGTCTGGAAAGGGGTGAGGGCAGCTTCCACTCACAGAGACCAGGCTTGGAACACACACCCTGGTAAAGAGGCGTAATGCACTCCCTCTAAGGTAACAAATCGAATCTTTTTGTGGAAGCTGATTCTAATAGGTAATGTGTCTATCATCATCAGGCCTGCAGTATCACAATTCAATCTAATGACACAACAGCCTAACATTCCTGAGGCTTATAGTTTTGATTTCGGGAAAATAGTATGACTAATTCACCAGTTTTGTGAGCCTCAAATGAGGGATGCATATATTTTGTCCCAGACTGTTTCCCAAGCTGGCTAGCAAACTGGAAAATTAAGCTCTTACTTGCATTTATTAGCTTAGCCACCTTTGTCAAAGTCTCTTGTGAAGTGTTTGACAAGCCAAAGCCCTTGCGGTCCCCACCAGAGAATCACCAGTCTGTAGACTACTTCACAGAGCCAAAGGTGGGAACCAATCTGGAGAGGGAGACCCTTGCCTTCTTTCCTGATGCCAAAACATGGGAGAGAGCGCCTTCTAAACCCCCTCAGAGACACTAGCAGGAGCCAGAGGAAAGCTGTGCCACGAATGAGGACCATTCTTTTCTGTTGGGGTCCAGGTTGAAATAAAGGTAGGCCATGTTGGCACCTTACTACTAATGTCTCTCCTTCCTAGGGGTGAAATTCTATGACCAAAAGATGCATGCCCATATTTTAAACTTGTGAATTTGGCAAATTAGGGGCACTAATAGTTTCACAGAATCTAAAGCCTACAATTTAAGTAATGCTTAAGCTGGAGCAAACCATATTAGATGGTGACACCTAGAGGTGAAAGGTGGCATTGCAGCCCGGCTCTATCAGCAACTACAGTCAAACCAGAGATTCAAGAGATGGAATTTCTTTCTATGCGTCAGTTTCAAATCAATGTTACATCCAGACGGGGTCACACGTACAAATAATTTTTTGAGACTTAAAAGACAACCCAACCCCATCACTTTTATCACAGCAAACATTTGAGGCAGACAGATCATCTTCAGTTCAAAGATGGAAAAATGAAGGTACAAAAAGTTTAGGTGATTTTCTCAAGCTCACAAAAATCAAGTAATAGCAAAATTGGGCCCAGATCCTAAATCTTTGAGACACAATCTAATTCTATTTCCATTAGGCCAGAGGAGAAAATGGACAAGGGTAAGAAAAGTGCCCAGAAGTTAAACAGACCTGCACATATCTCCTGGCGGCCTCCACATCCTCCTGGCTAGAGGGGTCTCTGGGTTCAGCCCAGTCACTGCTGATCGTGATGGAAATTGTGCCACCTTGTTTGGCGCGATACACATCGTTGTACAGGTGCCAAGCCTCAGCATGGGCCTTTATTAGGTTGTGGCCAACAATGTAGGGGGCAGTGCCAGGCCTAAAGGAGATTCCTGGAAGCACACACACATGGATGTTGACAGAGAATGGATGTGGCTGAAGGTGTTACACCCCACCCATGGATGTCCCCTCTGTGTTTGAGAGAAAGAGTACAGATTTTGGCATTAGGCAGGTTGAAATTCAAGTCCTGGCTGTGTCTGTTACTAGTTGGCTGTGTAACTTTGGGCAAGTAATTAAGCCATTCAAGTCGGGGACAGTGGCTCATGCCTATAATCCCAGCACTTTGGGAGGCTGAGGTGAGAGGGCTGCCTGGGCCCATGGGTTCAAGACCAACCTGGGCAACTTGGTGAGACCTCATCTCTATAATAAATCAAAAAAATTAGCCGAGCACAGTGGTGCATGCCTGTAGTTCCAGCTACTTGGAAGGCTGAGGCAGAAGGATCACCTGAGCCCAGTAGGTAGAGGCTATGGTGGCCGTCAGAGTGCTACTGCACTCCAGCCTGGGTGACAGAGTGAGATTCCAACTCAAAAAAAATAATAATAATAAGCCATTCAGTTATCTCCTTGGTAAAATAGGCAGCAGAAAGTCAGTGCTTGTGAGAGGGAAATGAAATGGTGTCTGTGAAACACCCAGCAGCACTGTATCTGGCAGAGAGACACTTGATACATGTTGGTTTCTATTCCCTTTCTCCAAAACAATGGCTCATGTGTCTCAGGCAAAATGCCCACAGAAGAGTATGCCTCAGGAGTTGACATCCTGGAGCTCTTTGGGGACTGCTGTGAAAGTTAAGGTTGGAGAATATAGCGAAGGCGAGCAGTGGTCACCGAGATCCCTCGAGAGCAAATGCTACAAAAGAGGTGAGTACAAATCAAAGTGCCAACAAAGGGCAATGGAGACGCCTCTAAACACAATCTGAGGTGTCTCCCTGAGGCTCTTCCCAGCTGCTGCACGTGATCCTGCAGAATCACATAGATGAGCACAAATTTATTCTCAAAAGCTCAGAACTAGAGAAAAGGGAAATTAGATGGTTCTCTAGGTGCAAAGACAGGGCCACAATCCCTTATTCCAAACCCTCAGGCATCCAGCAATCCTACCACTGGCTATGTATCCAAAGGAATGGAAATCAGTACATCAAATAGATAACTGCACCCCTATGTTTATTGCAGCACTGTTCACAGTAGCCAAATACAGAACCAAACTAAGTGCCTCTCAGTGGACGAATGGATAAAGAAAATGTGGTATAGACACACAATGGAATACTATTCAGCCTTGAAAGAGGAACAAAATCCTGTCTTTCATGGCAACATGGATGAGCCTGGAGGACATTATGTCAAGTGAAATAAGCCAAACACAGGAAAACAAATATCACATGTTCTCACTCATATGTGGGAGGCAAAAAAAAAAAAACTGTGCGAAGAGAATTAGAGAGTAGAATTGTGGCTATTAGAGGTTGGGAAGGGTAGGTAGAGGGGACTAGGGAGTGTTGGTTAACAGGTACAAAGTTACAGCTGGGTGGGAGGGCTGAGTTCTGATGTTCTGTAGCATTAGAGGGTGAACATAGTTAACAACAATGTAGACTGTATTTTCTTTTCTTTTCTTTTCTTTTTTTTTGAGTCGGAGTCTCACTCTGTCGCCCAGACTGGAGTGCAGTGGCCGCTCCCGGCCACCGCAGCCTTGACCTGCTGGGCTCCGGCGATCCTTCCACCTCAGCCTTCCGAGTAGCTGGAATTACAGGCGCGTGCTACCATGCCCGGCTGATTTTTTGATTTATTGTAGAGATGAGGTCTCGCCAAGTTGCCCAGACGGGTCTCAAACCTATGGGCTCAAACCCGCAGGCTCAGGCAAACCTCAGCCTCCCAAGGTGCGGGATTACAGGCTGAGTCACCGAGTCCAGCTGATTGTATTTTCAAAAAGCAAGAAGAGAGAATCTTAAATGTTCACAACATTCAGAATTACCCTGATTTGATCATTACACATTGTATACATGTATTGAAATATCACTCTGTTCTCTATAAATATGTACAATTATTTCACATCAACTAAAAAGGAAAAGGAATAAAAAACCCCTTAGGGTCAGATGTGTTTTGGAATCAAACGTTCTTCTGTATTTGAGAAAAGTAATGTTTTATGTATATATATGTCACTTATTGGCTGCCACCCCAGCAGGGCCCAGGACAGTTCTCCATAGTCAAGCACACTAATATCTCTGCAGCAGAACTTGGGAATGGTCACACTAAGTGAGATAAAGAACATAAGCAGCCGCGTGTTGGTTCGAGTCAGATTTCACTGTGATGAATGAGCTCAGATCCGCCAAATCAATTATCTGAAACTTCGGAATCTGGGAATTGCGGAAAACAGACAGTGGGGCAGTCCAGCCTGACCAATTGTCCTTTCTCCATTCATTGCCCACAGCCCTGACCTCAGAGAGCTTCCTGCCTGAGGTGGACCACAGAGCAAAGAAAGGAAGCCAGGCTGAGGGATGGAGCTGTGAAACTCACGTTCCGCAATGAGGTGTGGGAAGGGAGACCTCTGCAGTCCTGAGCAAGAGGCGGGGCTTCTGAGGCACTGCCATGGGGCTTTCTTGGCCACCTCCCCCTGTGCCACCTGGATTTCATGTCTTGATGTACTCGGAATGCCATGTTCTAAGAAGCCGACAAGTCAGGCCTCAGGCGTTTACCTGGAGCTGCTGTCCCATAGCCGTAGCCCTGGGTAGCAATGACAAAGGGCTCATTCAGCGTGATCCAAAACTTCACCTTGTCTCCCAGCCTCTGGAAGAGAACTTCTGCATACTCTGTAAACCGCTGCACAATGGTCTCGTTTTCCCAGCCTCCTACGTCCTGAAGCGCCTGGGGCAGGTCCCAGTGGTAAAGGGTCACCTGTGAAAAAGCCAGATCAGCAGTTCTAGCCATTGTGCTTTCCACAGGCAGCCCTTGACATCAGATGCGCCAGCTAAATATCTGCTCAACTGAGAGTGAACTATGAGAAGAAAAGGCTCAAAGATCTATTTTTCCTTTATGAGAGAGACAAATTGTTTCTAGGGAGGGGAACTGGATGGCTGGAGTCAAGGTTGGGAAGGAAACTCTTCCATGCTTTTTTAATTCTGTAACTTGTGAATTTAATGACAATCCAAAAATTAATTTTGAAGGCCGGGCACGGTGGCTCATGCCGTGCTGTGATCCCAGCACTTTGGGAGGCAGAGACGAGAGGATTGCCAGAGCCCAGAAGTTTAAGACCAGGGCCTGGGCAACTTGGCGAGACCTCGTTTCTACAATAAATCCAAAAATTAGCCAGGCACGGGGGCAGGCGCCTGTAGTTCCAGCTACTTGGAAGGCTGAGGTGGAAAGAAGGATCACCTAAGCCTAGCAGGTTAAGGCTATGGTGGCCACGATTATGCCATTGCACTCGCCTGGGTGTCAGTGCGAGATGTCGACTCAAAGAAAATAGACCAAAAAAATTGGAAACAAGGAGTGGTGGACACACTTAAAGGCGAACTTCTTCACCAATGTACAGTGTAACCATATAACCCAAAGCTAGTAATATCCCCTAAAGCTATTGAAATAAAAAATTAAAATAGAAAATTAAAAAAGTTTGAAAACAGCACTTTGTTTATCACATGATACATGTGCTCCCTCACCCCAACGGATCTTACCTGACCAAGTGTGACCGTGATCAAGTGTTATGCGCTGTGGGCTTTACCTGGGGCTGGATGTTGGCAGCCAGCAGCGCATCAATGAGCCGTACGTAGTAACTCAGGCCCGCCTCGTTGATGTACTTGGTGGTCCCGTCAGGGAGGATGCGGGTCCAGGAGATGGAGAAACGGTAGTGAGTCACGCCCAGGTTCTGCAGGACGACCACATCCTCAGCGATCTTGTGATAGCTGTCGCAAGTCACGTCTCCGATGTCGTCGTTCTCAATCTTAAGTGGTGTGTGAGAAAACGTGTCCCAAATGCTGAGTCCTTTGCCATCGGCCCTCCATGCACCTTCGACCTCAAGATGACAAGACGTGGTCTGATGAACTCATTCAGTCAAGCACTCACAACTTCCCCTCTGTCACTGGGCGAGTCCCAGGTTAGGACGCTTCTCAGCGCCACCTCCTCTGGGAGCCTTCTCTGACCGCCCCTGCGGTGTGTGAAGCCCCACAGCTTTCTCTACACGTGTGGTCTGCCCCACTCCTGCCTCAGAAAAGACAGGTGGAGGCAGAGGGTGGAAAGCAGGGACCTGCCACCAACTGCCAGACAAGTCACTCTTGTCTTTTTATATTTCCTCTTTCTGGGAAGAAAATAAAACCATGATATTTTCCGCATCAGTGAGCCTCCTCTGGCACGAAGAAGGTAACAGTACGATGTTGTTGACCAATTTGAGCAACCTGCCTGCTTGGGAGGATGCAGCTGAGGGGTAAAGGTGTCCAGTGGGAACTCTTGCAGTCACACGCCACGAAACAACGTTTGGTTAACCACAGACCAGACCGCCTATTTGATGGTAGTCCCGAAAGATTACAATGGAGCTGAAAGATTCCTACAACTGGCCAGGCTCGGTGGCTCAGCCTGTCATCCCAACACTTTGGGAGGCCGATGCAAGTGGATTGCCTGAGCCCGCGGGTTCAAGACCAGCCCAGGCAACTTGGCGAGACCTCGTCTCTACAGTAAATAAAAAAACTTAGCTGGGTGTGGTAGCATGTGCCTGTAGTTCTGGCTACTTGGAAGGTGGAGGCAGGACTGCCAGAGCCCAGCAGGTTGAGGCTGCGGTAGCCGAGAGGCGTGCCACTGCCCTCCAGCCTGGGTGACAGAGTGAGACTCCGACTCAAAAAAAAAAAAAAAGTTATAGCAACCTAAGCTTAATTTATTATTGAAGAAATAAAGCTTTAAAAACAAATTTAGTATAACCCAAATGTGCAGTGTTTCTAAAGTCTACAGTAGTGACCAGTAATATCCTAGGTCTACACATTCACTCAGAAGCACTCACTGACACCCAGAGCAACCTCCAGTCCTGCAAGTTCCATGCATGATAGGGGCCATTTTTAATCTTTTATGCCATATTTGACTGAAACTTTTCTATGTTTAGCTACACAAATATTTTCCATTGTGCTACAATTGCCTGCAGTATTCAGTAGTCACCTGCCGTCCAGGTTGTAGCCCTGCACTTTGGGGGGCTACATGGGAATGGGCTATCCCATATAACCTGGTTGTGTAGTGTGTTACACCATGCAGGTTTATATAACACATGCTCTGATGTTGACATAACAATGAAGCTGCCTAATGACGCATCTGTATGCCCATTGTTAAGCAATGCACAACTGCATTTGCATGTCTTTGCCCAAGTGCTTCTGCCAAGCTCCACCTGACCCACCCGGCCTCTCAAGCACCCAGCTCAGCACAGCCCACCTTGCTATGATGGTCTGGCTAAATCTAGGGATGTGAAGAAGCTGGGCTGTCTGGAAGAGTACCTTCCAGACTCCCTCCGCCTTCCACGGGGCCGCTGGAAGCTCACTCACGTGCCTGTCCTCCCCAACACCAAGCCCCGAGCCTGGCTCAGGGCAGGTATGCAGTCAGCGGTGTCCAACTGCCTGAACTCCTCACCTGATAAGCAGCAGAGGCCGCACTCCAGATGAAGCCCTCGGGAAACTGTCCGTACAGAAACTCATCCTCCTTGGGCAGCGGCATGCCGTTGTTGGTAATGACCTCTGTGTAGTACCTGGCAGAGGCTCTTGCTGTACGAGGCCTGTTCATGTTCTCGAAATCAACACGGTGCAGTCCAAACTTGACCGTGTAGCCATTCAGCCACTCAAAGTTGTCCATCAAAGACCAGGCAGAATACCCTCGAAGGTCGACACCATCAAGCCTGTAGGCTGGAAACATTCCAAAAGGAGCAGAGGAGAGTTTTATACCAGCAGGTGGGACCTCTATGCAGCCTAGCCAAGTTATGGCTTCTCAGTTCAAGGCTGTGGTCCTAAACCATCCACTTGTACATAGTGAGGTAGGTTCTTAGAGGTGAACAATCACTTTGTTGACCTTACTTTTTGCCAGCACCCATGATCCCACAGCACGAATTAATGCCTCATCTTCCTAAAATCCGACTCTTTTGTTGGGATGAAGGAATACATCTCAAATTCTACAGTCTTAGCTCACTTTAGAAGTTAAACTCAGGTCGGATTTGGTGGCACAGCCTGTATTCCCAGCACTTTGGGAGGCCAAGGTGAGTGGATTGCCTGAGCCCACGGGTTTGAGACCAGCCTGGGAAACTTGGCAAGACCCCGTCTCAACAATAAATCAAAAATTAGCCAAGTGTGGTAGTGCATGCCTGTAGTTCCGGCTACTTGGAAGGCTAAGGTGGAAGGATTGCCTGAGCCCAGCAGGTTGACGCTGGGGTGGCCATGAGCATGACACTGCACTCCAGCCTGGGCGACAGAGTGAGACTCTAACTCAAAAAAAAAAAAAAATTAAGCTCAGAAGCGTGAATTTACAGAAGAGTTTCACATTCTGGGGTACGTGGGACCCGCCGGAATATAAGCTCCACGAAGGTAGAACTTTATGTTTTGCTCTCTGTTGTATTCCCAGCACCTAGACTAGAACTTGTCACATAATAGTTGCTCATAATGAATAAATGGACCCAGAAAAATATTCTTGTGGGGATTCTACACGCGTATATTTTTGGTTTTTTTCTGGTAAGACCACCATAGCCCCTTTTTTCAGCTTCTCAAGGGGCACATAACTCCCAAAGAGGTCAAGAATTATGGAGCTGGGGCAGAAGAGAGAGACTTGTTGATGGCGCATAAATCACTCTGGCAAACCATTTCAGGCATATGTCCTAGGGAATGTTGGAAGCCTTTTTTAAAGGAGACCTAAACCCTCACATACCTTTCAAAGCCTCATTGATGTAGGTCTTGTGATAAAATATCCTATCGGTGTCCTCCAGCTTGGGATTTGTGAGCCCCGCTCCATTTTCGGTAATGTAAATGGGGATGTCACCATACTCTTCTTTGATCCAGTTCAACAGTCTCCGCATACCCCAGGCCACAGCTCTGTTCATTGCTGTGGAAGGCCACGAAGAGTCCTCCTCCTCGGTCATCTCCTGGTCATCTTCGAAGGAGGGTGGGTTTAGCCTGGGAGTCTTGTGCTGCACGATTCTGGAGGAGTAGGTGTTGAGGCAGAAGACGTCGGCTGTAGCCCTAATGTACCTCTTCTCTTCCTCAGTGAAGCTGGGCAGGCGAGAGGTAGCCAAGTGTTGTAGTTCACTTCTGTTCCCCACTTTCCACTTCATGGCGTCTGGGTAGTCTCCGTTTCTGAAAATGGGGTGAGCAAACCAGCCCAGGGAGAACTGCAGCATCCGGTCAGCTGCTTCCACGTCTCTCGGGACCCCCGGCGACTTGGGCTCTGCCCAGTGTGCGCTGAGGCTCAGGGAGATGACCCCCTTCTGCTTCTGCCTGTATTTCTCATCGTAAGTGTGATAGACTCTGGCATGAGCTTTGATGACTGCATGGCCAATCCTATAAGGTGCCCAGCCCGGGTCCTTCACACCGGGGGGAAACACCCCGGAGCCGTAACCCAACCATGCCTGGAAGGTGGGCTCATTGAAGGTCATCCAGAACTTGACTCTGTCACCAAAGGTCTGGAAACAGAAGTCTGCATAGCTGTCAAACAACTCAATCAAGGAGGGATTCTCCCAGCCTCCGATATCCTGGAGGGCCTGGGGCAGGTCCCAGTGGAACAGTGTCACCATGGGAGAGATGTTGCTTGCCACCAAGCCGTCGATCAGCCTGTTGTAATAATCAACACCACCACTGTTGATAGAACTGTTTCTCCCAGTGGGGAAAATCCGAGACCAGGAGAGAGAGAAGCGATAGGCCTTCACCTTCAAAGCTCGAAGCATATTCAGATCGGCATCCAGTTGGTGATAGCTGTCACAGGCTATGTCTCCGGTGGCATTACCTTTTATGTTGCTCCCTGGTGTGTGGGTGAAGTTATCCCAGATGCTGGGGCCTTTGCCGTCAGCATTCCACCCTCCTTCGATCTGATAGGCTGAAGAGGACACGCCCCACACAAAGTCATCCCGGAACGTGCCGTGGTAGAACAAATCTCGTTCAAACTTGGGTTGGTTGGAGAACTTTTCCCAGACGACTTTAGCCTTGGAGGGCACCTCAGATGGAAAAGGGAAGGCTCGGATTTTGGAGGGGACGTTGGCTGTAGTAGGTGGTGGTGACCTTTTTACCTCCTTAGTGAGGAAACCGTTCTTTTCAATGATACTGGTGAGGAAATAGGCAGATCTCCTGGGAGTCCTTGGCTTGCTGCTGTCATTGAAGTTGACATGATGCAGCCCAAACCTCTGGCTGTAACCAGAGGGGCCTTCGAAGCCATCGATGAGGGAGCGAGCAATGTATGAACGAACATCCACAGAGTCCTCTTTGACAGCTATGAAGAAAAGCAGGCATTAGAATTATTTACTTCTTTATTTTAATTTATTATGTATTTATTATTGCTATTATTATTATTAGTTTATGGAGACGAGGTCTCACCGTGTTGCCGGGCTGGTCTTGAACTCCTGGGTTCAAGTGATCCTCCTGCCTCAGCCTCCCAAGTCACTGAGATATTACTGGCACATGCTACAGTGTCACTATTTTATTTTATTTTATTTTTTGTCACCCTTCACAGGCATCTTGCAAGCACTCCTATTTTATTTATTTATCTTATAAGACTGGTCAAGTGCAGCAGTGAGAAGTGGGGAAGGAGTACAAGGAGTTTGATCTGTAACTGGCTGTGAACACTCAATTGAGATAACTTATTACCTTCTGACCGGCTGGAATTATCTTTCAATAAAATAACTTGTATTGAAAAATTTTAAGTATAGTCTGCTACTAAATTGCTTTTAATAAGTTTTCCTTTTGACATGAAAATTTTTGAGGGGACTTGGGTTACCCTCCAACATTTAACTCCTTTTCCTCCTCAGAATGGGTGGAAGGAAAACACACAAAACCCTCACAAAACATCAGGCCACTTCTATGGCCATAAATTTCAAACCAAAGGAGCATCACCATCTTAAAATAAATTACAGGGAGAATGTGCCCCGCTTGTTGGCATCAGGATGCTTCCGTCTTACGTGGAATACATAAATCATTTACTTTCTTAACAATGTGTTTTTGCTTTTCCTTATTTACGCTTAGCAATATCACCTCCAAAACTTCCACATAAAAAGGAGAACTTATTATTAAACTGATGACATATTCCATATTTTAAAGATATAAAAATGTATTCTCTGGTGCAATGAGTTGAATGGCGCCCCTCTCCCAAAAGATAAGCCTAAATTCTAACCCCCAAGATCAGCGAATACAACCTTATTTGGAAAAAGGGTCTTTGCAGATGTAATTAAGTTAACAATCTCAAGATGACATCATCCTTGGACCAGCCAAGGACTGACATGTGAGAAGAAATCTATTTGCCATCGCTTTTCGCTTGGAATAAAGACATATAAATAGTGTGTTAGGTGAGAATGAGACTGTACATGTGGGTCAATTGGCTCAAAAGGAATGATGTGGAATGTAGATTGTATGGGCAGGTAACAGAAATGAAGATCGATATGCTGGAGCCATGAGGGAAGAATTAAGGAGGTAGAGTCCCCTCCTAAGTGACCTTGGGCCTCCTGCAATGTCCTTAGTCCCCTATATCACAATTCTCTGTCTGTGTCCCTCTGTAGACTGTGCGTCCCCTATGGAAAGGATGATGTTTGTTCAATATCTTACCCCTCCTGTTTTGCACAACGTCTGGCACATAACAGGCACTCAAAAAATACATGTTAAATCAACGTATTTAAAAAATGATGACACTTCCCAGCTACTCAGGAGGCTGAGGCAGGAGGATTGCTTGAACTCAGGAGTTTTTGAGCCTAGAGTGAGCTTTGATTGTGCCACGGTACTCCAATCTGGACAGCAGAGTGAGAGCCTGCTTCTTAAAAAAAAAAAAGATGATGAGGCTTTGTGATTGGATAGGACTCAGAAGGGCAGAATGTGCAAGGGAAGTACTCTAGGAAATAAGAACACAGGAGCAAAGACATGAGACTTTGGGAAAGAAAGTCAGGAGGCTGATGTGAAGGACTCCCCACTACTACTACCAATATTGTTTCTTGGGCTTCATTTCCCTGGGACACTGTGTTTATCCCATTAAACAAAACTCTGAAGACTTGGAGGAGAAGTATGTCACAATCACCAGCACATCCGCTATTCTTACCTTTGAGCACCTCATTGATATATTGATTGAAGTAGTGTACTCTCAAGGAATCATCAAGGAGATTTTCACTTTCCCCTATGGGCATGCCATTCCCAGCCAGATATATTGGAACTTTTCCTCTTGTGTATTCCAAGGATACAAACTGCAACAGCCTCCTTATACCCCAGGGCACCACACGAATCCAAGAGGAGGAAGTCTGGGGCCATGCAGGATCCACATGTTGGGAGAAACCTCTGATGGTATCATAGCTAGGGGTGCAGGTGTCTGGTTGGGCCTTGCTGATGAGGCGGGAGGTGTAATGAGACAGACCCAGAAAATCAGCAGAACCTTTTAGGAGTTGTCTCTCTGCGTTAGTGAACTCAGGGAGCTGGGCCACTGGACTGTGGCACTGTTTGTTCATCTGTTGGATCTGGGCCTTCAGGGTGGCCGGGTAGTCTCCATCTACAAAGATGGGATGCGCAAACCAGCCTAGCATGAAGTGCAAGAAGTGCTCAGCGGCTCGCAGATCCTCGGGCCTCTCTGGAGATAGGGGTTCTGCCCAGTCTGAGTTCAGCACAATACCCACGCGCCCCTGCTGCTGTGGGCGATGGTGGCTGTTGTAGTGGTGCCAAGTTCTGGCATGAGCCTTGAGGACCAAGTGAGCCACCTTATAAGAAAGAAAGAAGGAAATGCAGTGCTTAGTAACAACAGCAATGACAACAACAAGACTAAAAAGTCAATAACAACAAAGTCAACAAGTTAACACCAACGTCAACAATATCATAAAGTCATTAAAGACAACAACACTGACATTGTCAGCACTGGCAACAGCAACACTAATTTTTTTTTTTTTTTGAGCTGGAGTCTTACTCTGTTGCCTAAACTGGAGTGCAGTGGTTGCTCCCGGCCACCGCAGCCTCGACCTGCTGGGCTCCGATGATCCTTCCGTCTCAGCCTTCCAAGTAGCTGGAACTACAGATGCACGCTACCATGCCCAGCTCATTTTGATTTATCATAGAGATGCGGTCTCGCCAAGTTGCCCAGGCGGGTCTTGAACCCATGGGCTCAGGCAATCCACTCACCTTGGCCTCCCAAGGCACGGGATTACAGGCTGAGCCACCGAACCCGGCTAGCAACACTAATGTTAACAACATCAAGTCATCAACTGTTGAGAGGCTGCTGCTTCCACGAGAGTCTACAAACCACCAACTTGGGGACAGCTTCCATTAGCCAACATTAAACGGCATCTGTTCAGGAAGCAGGTGTCCAAGTATAATATTTTCGTCTTTCGCCTATCCGTCTCTCCTTCAGGAAACCTCATGACCCGGCAGGGGCTGGACCCCTGCAATCAACAAGTCAACAATTTTAACACCAATGTTAATGCTATGAATAAGTCAATAGTAGTGTCAAGTCAACAACATCAACCACAAGTTAAGACTAATGTCGACAATGCTAAAATTTGAGAATAATAACAAGCCAACAACAATATCAAAAAGTTAACACAAATGTCAACAAGTCAACAACATCAACAATGTTGATGTCAACATCAACACTAATGTCAACAACATCAAGTCAATACCAGTGTCAACAAGTCAACAACAATGTCAGTAAGTCAACGCCAAAATCATCAACAAAGTCAACAAGTCAACAATTCTACATTATCGACAAAATAACAGTATCAACAATCACATTAACAACAACAGTTAACATATACTGAGGACTCACTGCTCAGTGAATTATCTCATGTAATCCTCATAACAACCTCATATAGACAGTACAATTATTGTTACCATTTTACAGATGAGGAAAGCAAGATCAAGAGTTGGTGCAATAACTCCACAAGCCCCACAGTCAGAAGTAAAGTGAGAATATAAAGCCATGGCAGTCTGACTCCAGGCCAGAAATTGCCATCCACAATGCTCTTCTGCCTCTGTGCTTACTGGCCAATTATTTCATGGGAGGGAGTATTTTAACTAACACACAAGGCAGAGGACCACTCTTTCTAGACTACTTGTTCTCCTTTCTACATAATAAAATCTAGGAAGAAAAACCACAGCTAGGAGTCTCTCTGTAGACTTAACTCATGGTATTACAAAAACCAGCAGCTTTCCTGGGTGCAGCACCATGGGAAAATACAGACAAAATAGGGAACTCTGGAATATAACAAACCTAGATTTAAATCTTGACTGTGCCACTAACTTGTTTTTGTAAACTTGGACAATCTGTTCTCAACTCCAGCTTCCTGTTAGCAAGAAGTGGGTAATTATGGATCCATCTGGAAGGCTTAAATACATGTATGTAAAGTACTGAGCAGAAACTCAGAGTGAGCTTACTCTTAGTTTGCTCTCCTTTCGCCTTTTTATCATCAGAAGAATTTCCTAACAAAATATGCCCTAATAACTGAAACTCCTTGGTGAAGAAACTCCTTGGCTGCTTCTCATGTCCCAAATGCTAGTCCTTAATAGGGTCTCGAACTCCAATGCAAACCACACTCCTTTCCAAAAGTCAGGGATGTGTCCCTTCTAAAGTAGTCAGTCTCAGGCAGGGTGCTCAGTGGAATATTAGACAACCATCAGAAACCGTCATTACGGCCATGTGATAACATGGAAGAGTGCTAATGACATGATGCCAACTAAACAATAAGTACTAAACTGAGGTGGTGCACTGTGACAACACTATGAATGCAAAGAAGACAAAACTGGAAGGAAGTACTGGTAAAATAATACAAGAAAACTTTTCTTTAAAAATTGTCCTCAATAGTTGCTATGGACTGAATTGTGTCCCCTCTCAAAATTCATATGTTGAAGCCTTAACACCCAATGTAGTAGCATTTGGAGATACGGCCTTTGGAAGGATATATTGGTGGGCCCTCATGATGGTGTTAGAGTCCTGATAAGAAGAGACTCACCAGAGAGTTCTCTCTCTTCCCCTCACCCCCACCATATGAGGATACAGCCAGAAGGTGGCAGCCTGCAGGCCAGAAAGAGAGCCCTCACTAGAACCCAACCATGCTGGTCCCTTGATGTTGGACTTCCTACCTCTAGAAATGTGAGAAGTAAATATGTTGTTTAAATCACCAGTCTGTGATATTTTTGTTATAGCAGCCCCAGTTCACTAAGTCAATGGTACTATAACATTTTTTTTTTTGAGTTGGAGTCTCACTCGGTTGCCCAGACTGGAGTGCAGTGGCCGCTCCCGGCCACCGCAGCCTCGACC